GCTGCCCTGGAAATGATTTTATACCAGCCCTATAATACATTGAAACAGTATAGTACACAGACTATACAGATTGGAAAATACTTAAAACTGGAAACTATTCATCATTTTTAAATATAATAATTATATTTATAATTAGTTTTGCAAAATGAAGGGGTGCACTGATAAGGACTTCAAAATAACCAAAATTAAATGTTTGATTTTAAGCACACATGCAAGGGTATACACGCAATGTCTCAGCCGGCCTTAACCCCTTAAGGATAGAGATAATTGTTCATGTTCGGAACCAAAACAAGATCTAGAATTTGCGCTAGTTATGTGTTCTGCCATAATTCAAGGTTTTCTATTTTAGTGCCCTTATACATATTATATAGTGCTTTATGAAGGACAGAAGATGTTTTGTTGTGTTTTTTAACTATTCAATACGTATACTTAACACAATGTTAAATGTGTATAAAATGTAAAAAATTGGGGGAACGCATATTTTTCATACATTTCATAATGTTTACACATCTATTGCAGCTAAATAAAAAGACATTCACACATCAATGGAAACAGTAGTAAAGGGTCAGCGCTGATAGAACAAACTGGGAAAAGTGAAATTAAGGCAGCTTTCCTCCAAAAGGAAGGGAATCCCTCTATCCCTATAGTAGTGAGGCAAGTACAAAAGTGTAGAGGATAAGCGCCACTCAAAAAAGACGCTGGTGAGGATATTATAACCAGCATAGTATGCCTTAAAAACAAATAAATATAAAATAAGATAAATAGAAAATAAAATATTAAATATAGGTCCAAGATAGAAAGTCCAATAAAAATAACACATCCTAGATCTGAATGAATTAAATATTCTTCTGAAATACTTTTTTCTTTACATAGTTGAATGTGCTGACAACAAAATCACACAAAAATTTAAAAATGGAAATCAAATTTTTCAACCCATGGAGGTCTGGATTTGGAGTCACACTCAAAATTAAAGTGGAAAAACACACTAGAGGCTGATCCAAATTTGATGTAATGTCCTTAAAACAAGTCAATATGAGGCTCAGTAGTGTGTGTGGCCTCCAAGTGCCTGTATGACCTCCCTACAACCAGGGCCGTTGCAAGGATTTTTGCCGCCCTAGGCAAAAGTAAAGTTTGCCGCCCCCCCCCCATGTGACATCACAATGCCCCACCCATATGATCTGCCATGTTAACTAACGCCAGTGCCGCAGTGCTGCCGTGTTTACATTAAAAGGCCTGCAGGGACAGGCTATAGACACCACAAACACTACATTAAGCTGCAGTGGTTCTGGGGACTATAGTGTTTCTTTAACGTGAGGTAAATTAGAGATTAGTGCCACGAATAATATACTAGATTGCCTACTTACAACCAGATGAGGATGATGATGGGCTCTAGCTGCAGTCTGGCTCCACTGGTCTGGTGTAGAACAGGCTCTCTGGAGGCGGTTTGTAACTGTGGTCACAAAAATCAATGTTCTGGGAGAACGGGAAGCAGCTCCATTTTTTGGGGGCCCTTTACACAGCTCAAGGTCTGGGTCCCAGGGTCCACCTTCATGTTCCACCAATGAGTTTGTTCACAGGGGTGGAGTGTGTAGGGGATGTCCTGATATGTGTGTAAGGAATGCATTGTGTGACTCTGTGTTTGTATGTGTAAGGGCTGCAAGGTGTGTTTCTGTGTATGTACGGGATGCAGTGTGTGCGTCTGTAAGGGATGCATTGAGTGTGTGTAATGAATGCATTGTGTGTTTCTGTGTGTGTAAGGTATGCATTGTGTGTAAGGGTTGCATTGCTTGTGTGTCTGTGTGTGTAATGCATTGTGTGTGATTGTGTGTGTGTGATGGATGTCAATCTTCCCCCCCGTCAATTTCCTTCACCCCCCTCCAAATTTCCTTCTCCCCCTCCCAATTTCCTTCTCCCCTCCCAATTTCCTTCCCCCTCGCAATTTCCTTCTCCCCCCTCTCCCAATTTCCTTCTCCGCCCCCTCACAATTTCCTTCTCCCCCCTCCCAATTTCTTTATCCCCCCCAATTTCTTTATCCCCCCCCTCTACCACTGTTGTAGCATGGCCGAGCTCTGTATGGTTCGCGGGTACAGGGAGCTTTTGTTTCCTGTACCCAGCTGGACTAAAAGGAAGTGCACACTGAATGAGTACTTCCTGTTAGTCCGGCCGGGTACAGGAGACAGATGCTTCCTGTACCCGCGGACCATACAGAGCTCGGCCATGCTACAGTGAGGGAGTGACAGGAGGGAGCGCTGAGCGCTTCCCTCCTGTCAGCCCCTCTCCTCATGCTGCGTCCGGGCGGTGCGCCCTCATGGACGCACCAGCCTGGGCAAAGCTGCAGCCCCCGAGGCTCTCTACAGAGCGCTCGGGCGGCTGCAGCATGAGGGGGACCAGCGCTCCTGGCAGCGCCCCTTCCCAAGGGGCGTCCTAGGCGGCTGCCTAGTCCGCCTAACAGGTAGCGGCGGCCCTGCCTACAACGCCTGTGCATGCTCCTGATGAGGTGGCCGATGGTCTCCTGAGGGATCTCCTCCCAGACCTGGACTAAAGTATCTGCCAACTCCTGGACAGTCTGTGGTGCAACGTGACGTTGGTGGATGGAGCGAGACATGATGTCCCAGATGTGCTCAATTGGATTCAGGTCTGGGGAACGGGCAGGCCAGTCCATAGCATCAATGCCTTCATCTTGCAGGAACTGCTGACACACTCCAGCCACATGAGGTCTAGCATTGTCTTGCATTAGGAGGAACCCAGGGCCAACCGCACCAGCATATGGTCTCACAAGGGGTCTGAGGATCTCATCTCGGTACCTAATGGCAGTCAGGCTACCTCTGGCGAGCACATGGAGGGCTGTGCGGCCCCCCAAAGAAATGCCACCCCACACCATTACTGACCCACTGCCAAACCGGTCATGCTGGAGGATGTTGCAGGCAGCAGAACATTCTCCACGGCATCTCCAGACTCTGTCACATCTGTCACATGTGCTCAGTGTGAACCTGCGTTCATCGGTGAAGAGCACAGGGCGCCAGTGGCGAATTTGCCAATCTTGGTGTTCTCTGGCAAATGCCAAACGTTCTGCACGGTGTTGGGCTGTAAGCACAACCCCCACCTGTGGACGCCAGGCCCTCATACCACCCTCAAGGAGTCTGTTTCTGACCATTTGAGCAGACACATGCACATTTGTGGCCTGCTAGAGTTCATTTTGCAGGGCTCTGGCAGTGCTCCTCCTGTTCCTCCTTGCACAAAGGCGGAGGTAGCGATCCTGCTGCTGGGTTGTTGCCCTCCTACAGCCTTCTCCACATCTCCTGATGTACTGGCCTGTCTCCTGGTAGCGCCTCCATGCTCTGGACACTACGCTGACAGACACAGCAAACCTTCTTGCCTCAGCTCGCATTGATGTGCCATCCTGGATGAGCTGCACTACCTGAGCCACTTGTGTGGGTTGTAGACTCCGTCTCATGCTACCACTAGAGTAAAAGCACCACCGGCATTCAAAAGTGACCAAAACATCAGCCAGGAAGCATAGGAACTGAGAAGTGGTCTGTGGTCACCACCTGCAGAACCATTCCTTTATTGGGGGTGTCTTGCTAATTGCCTATAATTTCCACCTGTTGTCTATTCCATTTGCACAACAGCATGTGAAATTGATTGTCACTCAGTGTTGCTTCCTAAGTGGACAGTTTGATTTCACAGAAGTGTGATTAACTTGGAGTTACATTGTGTTGTTTAAGTGTTCCCTTTATTTTTTTGAGCAGTGTATATACTTTCCGGAGGAGCAATCACAAACTTGTTCAAGGAAAATCTTCTTGTTGTGATATTAGATGGTGTCTGTATGTGGAGAGGAGAGGATAATGGTGCAGTATGTCCAGAAAATATAAAGATAAGAATAAAAGTATATATGGTCCTACTCACGTTTTTTAGAGCTTTAAATTAGCTCTAGTACGAAAGGCGTACAATGGTACAATCCCCACTTATAGGATACGTGAAGAATGATTTCAACGATGTATGGACCAAAAAATAAAAAGAAACAACAATAGTGCTCACTGTATAAAATCAACCAGAAGAATAAATAAGAGAAAATTACTCACATTTACCAGAGCAGACAAACTGCTCTATGGATAGGGCGTGGGTGGAATAATCCCCACCAAAAGATTTCTTGAGTAGTTCTTACTGGGAGTAAAATCAGGATAGCAGGCAATAAAATAATAACACTCAATGTAAAAGTAGCCAAAATAAAGGTTAATAAAGATATTTTGGCTACTTTTACATTGAGTGTGCCATTTTACTCTTTTTACTCCATTATTATTCTTTTATTCTTTTATTGCCTGGTACCTTGATTGTTAAATGCCCAATATGTCTAGGATATGAATACTTTTTTTGTAGTTAACGCTAACCGTATACCAACCCTCCCAATGCTATACCAATCATACACCTTACAATATGTTTAAACTAATTCTAACCATAAACTTACTCTAACCTTACACTTAGACTATCCCTAACTCTAAAACAGTATTAACAGAAATGCAGCATTAACCCTTACTTAACCCTAACCTTACAGCTCTTTACACTAACGCAAGCCCATGCTAATATCCGCACTGATATCAACAAATAGGTTTCCTAATTAAAACTGAAGAGAATGGTATGTTGCCACCAAATTACTGGCTTTTTTCCGTATTACAGGAATACTTTCCTTTATTTTAGAATGAAGCATGATTTCCTAGTCGATTCCACTGCGATCGGTGCTGTGCAGCTAGCAAAGACTGGGGGAATAAGGCATTGCCTCGCTCATCGCAAAACAATATGAAGCACCAGGAGCTGAAGATCAAATATGACGGCGCTCGTAATAGAGAGAGTCAGGAAAGTATCATGTATACTCACTCCACACACACAACCCGCCACTGCACCCCAAGTGTTGATGTCACCATCAGGGGTCTTTGCAAACTATGTACCTATCCATACATGCATCTGCTCGTGTGTATCTGCTTAAAATCTTGGTTTTATCTCTACTTTGTAATTTAAAGGGACACTACAGTCACCCAGACCACTTCAGCTCAATGAAGTGGTCTGGGTGCCAGGTCCCTCAGGTTTTAACCCTCCTTACATGTAAACATAGCAGTTTCAGAGAAACTCACTGAGGGTGAGGGTCCCCCAAGGATTATATAGTGTCAGGAAAACGGGTTTGTTTTCCTGACACTATAGTGATCCTTTAAGAAAAAACACACTGATTGCACCGATGTAACATTGTTTTCACAATAGTTTCCCTGTAAATTTTACTACTCTGCGTGCCTAGGGCCTGCCGGGGTGCACTGGAAGCCGGAGCAATCTGGCAAGTGTGGAGTAAACGTGGGGCCAATTTAGAAAACAAAACAGATAATTAAGTCTGAAGTCTGCATTCTTTTTTGTTACAAAATCCTAATAAACCAATTTAGTACTTCATCCATAAGGTTTCTATTTGGTAAACTGACAAATGGTTTGAAAGTGTTAAGAAAAAGCAAAAGTCATCATAACACAGTCTTCATAAATCCATTAAAAATTAGGGCCAGTTGTGTTTATTAAGATTCTATTCGCTAATTAGAAGCACATAGTGCTCAAGCAATAAATCACTTGGATGCAAAAGACTTGTATGTGTGTCACCAGTTTTTCCTTTGTGTATCATTAGCTTGCCCCGTGTTTGTCACTAGATTGTAATACATGTGTCACCATTATATTTCTTCTGTATGTTCAGAGTTCATCCTTTGGGTCTACCTGATGAAGCTCGTTCCTTTTATTCCTGTATGCATCATTCTGTCTCTTTCTCTTTATGTAGGTTTTCTCTGTTCATATACTAGCTATTTATTATATATCTGTTGCTCATCTGTACAGGGCCGGTGCAAGGATTTTTGCCGCCCTAGGCAAAGAAAAATTGCCCCCCTCATGTGACATCACAATGCCCCACCCATATAATCTGCCATATGAACTAACGCCAGTGCTGCACACAGTGTGTGTTTACATTAAAAAGCCTGCAGGGACAGGCTATAGACACCAGAACCACTACATTAAGCTGTGTGTGTGTGTTTGTGTGTGTGTGTGTGTGTGTGTAGTGGATGCAGTGTGTTTATGTGTAGTGGATGCAGTGTGTTTTTGTGTAAGGGATGCAAAGCAGTGTGTGTTTGTGTGTAAGGGATGTACTGTGTGTTTATATTTGTGTTTAAGGGATGCATTGTGTGAATCTGTGTTTGTATGTGTAAGGGAGGCAAGGTGTGTTTCTGTGTATGTAAGGGATGCAGTGTTTGTGTCTGTAAGGGGTGCATTGAGTGCGTGTAAGAGATGCATTGTGTTTCTGTGTGTGTGTGTGTGTGTAAGAGAAGCAGTGTGTGTATATGTGTGTGTGTGTAAGGGATGCATTGTGTGTTTCTGTGTATGTGTGTAATGGATGCATTTTATGTTTCTCTGTGTGCAAGGGAAGCATGGTGTGTTTCTGGGTGTGTAGGGATGCATTGTGTGTTTCTGTGTATGCATAGGGAAGCATTGTGTGAGTACTGTCAAAGAGAGAGTTTGTGGGGTCTCTACTCTCCTCCCCCACCTCCCTTAGTGTACTCTCCTCTTCTCCCCCCGTTTCCATTAGTGATCTCTCCTCTCCCCCCTCCCCCTTAGTGGTCTCCGCTCTCCCCCCTTGTTGTCTCTCCTACCACCCACCCTTAGTGGTCTCTCCTCTCACCTCACTCATAGTGAGCACTTCCTGTCAGTCTGGTCGGGTACAGGAAACGGATGCACCTGTACCGTGGACCGGAGCTCAGCCACGCTACACAGGGTAGGAGAGGTGGGGTGAGGAGGGGGTGAAGAGAATAGGGGGAGAGACCACTGAGAGAGAGTCCCTCCTGCTGATCCCCCATATCTTGCGCCCCCGAGCCGGTGCGCCCTCATGGACGCACAAGCCCGGGCAGTGCTGCAGCCTGCCTAAGTCACCTATAGGAAGCGCCGGCCCTGTATTTGTATATGTATAACCCTTACAATGTGCAACCTACACTCATTAGAATGTTAAAGGTTATTCCAAGCACCATGACTACTTCTGTGAATTTAAAGGGACACTATAGTCACCAGAACAACTGCAGCTTATTGAATTTGTTCTGGTGAGTAGAATCATTACCTTCAGGCTTTTTGCTGTAAACACTGTCTTTTCAGAGAAAATGTAGTGTTTACATTACAGCCTAGTGATAACTTCACTGGCCACTCCTCAGATGGCTGTTAGATATCCTTCCTGGGTCATGGCTGCCTAAAATGCATCCAAACATTCAGTGTCTCCTCCTTCTGCATGCAGACACTGAACTTTCCTCATAGAGATTCATTGATTCAATTCATCTCTATGAGGAGATGCTGATTGGCCAGGGCTGTGTTTGAATCATACTGGCTCTGCCCCTGATCTGCCTCATTGACAGCCTCAGCCAATCCCATGGGGAAACATAGAAACATAGAATATGACGGCAGATAAGAACCATTCGGCCCATCTATTCTGCCCAATTTTCTAAATACGTTCATTAGTCCCTGGCCTTATCTTATAGTTAGGATAGCCTTATGCCTATCCCACGCATGCTTAAACTCCTTTACTGTGTTAACTTCTGCCACTTCAGCTGGAAGCACTATGATTGGATCAGGCCACCACTTCTGATGATGTCAGCAGACTGCTTGTTTTTTTTTAGGCAAACAGCATGCAGAGTTACAGCTTCAGGCTTGAATACATTAATATTTTGCGATATATTTATATAGATATTTATGGAGGCATGAGGTGCCCAGGGGGGCTAGATGGTGGTGTTAACACTGTAGGTATAGGGTCAGGAATACATGTTTGTGTTCCTGACCCTATAGTGATCCTTTAAGTTGTCATGGTGGCTGGAGACTGTATATGCAGTATTTTGCTTACATACTCCATGAGCTCAGGAAGAGAATGACATGAGAAGATGCACTATCCTAAAGATGTACATGAATGTAATATTTTTTAAATAAGCCCATTTCTTCATCACAACCCATATCTGCTGTCCAATATCCAACCTATAGCTAGACATCTGGCTTCTGGCATAGATATGCTCATATTTCACTTACATTCTAACCCAGTCAAAAGATACCAGAAGACAAATTAGGGGCTATTTTGTCCTATGCATTTTTCATATGCTTGACTGGTTATGGTAAGTAAAAAAAAAAAGTTAAAAAAAATACCTTATCCTGCACCCCTGGGCCACTGCTCTGCAAGCGGCAAAGTCACCATCTGGGGTCTTTGCAAAATATGTAAAGACCCCAGAAGATGACAGAACCGTTTTAAGATAACATTTATCCCTCAGATTAATTGACTCCAGACTGAGGAATACATTGTAACTCAGCACTCATGTGGGATATGAGAAGTAATAATGCAATATAGTATAATGGAATGTCTGTTTCTTTCAGTAACATCGCACTCTGTACTAGGGCCTAATCCACGACACACTGAGTACATGAGCTATTGTTTGATTTCAGAAGCAACACTACTTTCTCCAGTCAGGCCTCAGGCTGCCCAGGTGGTCCATGCTGCCAAGAAAGGACTGGTTTCACTTCACTGAAACCGCTAGATAAGCCATAAGTCATAATGCCCGTGCCCGTTGAAGAAGTGGCATGCTTTAAAACATGGGTGCCCAAAAGGATGATCCCCTGATGGTTTAAAACTACAGCTGCCATGATGCTTTGTCCTTCTAAATGCATGTAAAGCATCATGGGAACTGTAGTGACCTATCTCTGAAAAGGTGACCTATCTGTTTATCAAACTATAGGGATAGGGGATTCCAATTGCTACAAATAATTTTTTGGATCTGGGGTAGAAAGTAGAAAAATTACCCACAAATGGGAGTCTATGAGACTTGGGTTTCTCTTTAATAGTAAGCAATCTTCTCGTTTCAGAGATTTAAGCCTCTGGTGGGTCCTCTGTGGTGCACGCTGGTCATCTGTTCAAACTTCTGTGTCATTTGTGGGAGTCGAGTATCAATTAGTGATTCGTCCTTCGCACCCTTACATGTTTGCTGTAGGAAATAGCGTTAATCAGTTTGTCTGGGTGAAAGCTACGTGAATCAAACTGTTAGAGTCAGCTGGTTTTGTAAACAGGTCAGGACTGAGATAGTTCCCAGTCTTGCATACTCTAACGTCCAGAAAATGAACTGTGTCTGTTCTGATGCTAGATGTAAAATGTTATGTCTGGATGCCACTGATTGAGTGTTCTAGGAAACAATCAAGTTCTATCCGTGTGCCCCTCAAGAGCATAAAACAGTCATCGATGTATCTGAACCAAGTAGGGAAATGTGCCAGAAACGTTGGATTATTGTAAAGAAATGTATCCTCAAAGTCTATCATGAATAAATTTACGTAGGATGTTGCCATATTCACCCCCATTGCATTGCCTTTTATTTGTTCATAATAGGCGGACAAATAACAGAAGTAGTTATTTTTGAGGATAATTTCTAGTAATATCACAACAAAAGTCAGGAGTGACTGTGCTTAACCTTTTATGGGCAACCAATATATCATCTCTGTGGGGAATTGAGGTATACAGATTAGAAACAACCAGCATGACTAGGAAGTCAGTTTGTTGGATAGATAAATCTTTGATTCTAATTATGAAATATCCTGAATGTTAGATTTGCTTGATATAACGACTGGTTGTAAGAACTGGTCCACAAAAATGGCCAGAGGCTGAAAAAAGAGTTTACCTGCAACAATTGATTGTCCTGGGGGATGGTTAGGGTTTTTATGGACCTTAGTGTCACAGTGTTATACCCCAACATGCAGAGTTTAGGATAGCAATGGAAAGCCATTAGCAGAAACTAGAAAGCCCATGAATTGGACTTCAGCTTGGTAAAACAGACACTTCTTGAGTTTACAGTAGATGCCGTTGACAAGAAGAGTCTTCAAAATTTGTTTGACATGTATATGATGAGTACGCAGATCAGGTTAATATATCAATATGTCATCTAGGTACACTATTAACAATGTGTGTATGTATTCCCTCAACACATCATTGATAAAATCCTGAAACACTGCTGGGGCATTACAGAGACCAAAGGGCATCAGAAGATGCGATCAAGCCGCGCGCAGCTTGTGTGGAACCGGGAGTGCGCTGAGGACCCTGGACGACCCCCGGATACGGTAACTACCACCACACTTAGGAAGTATATAAAAGACCGGAATAACTGGAAATCTGTTCAGTAGAAAAGAATATTGGGATTTAGTGAAGATCTGTTAACCT